GGTTAAATGGGGGTAAGCAGAATGCTGATAGAAATACGAACTGTAAAGACCACTCTGAGAAAATCTTGACGTAAATAAGAGTTTATTGGAAACTGGGGCAAAGATCACCCTTGCTATGAACTGGCTCCATTCTGTTCATGACCAAAAGTTTTATGGAATGTGAAACTTCAAGTTACTGACCCAGGTATCTGGCAGAAGAAATTTCTTTTTTTTTTGTCTTTTGTCTTTTTCCATGTCCGGCAACGGATCGCAACCCTCAGTGTTGCCCCCGTACCGGACCGGGGACCGGCAATGGGATCGCAACCCTCGGTGTTGCTCCCGTGCCTCGCTCAGCCAGTGAGCGGGAACCGGTCCGTATGTGGGATCCGAACCCTCGGTCGGGAGTGCCGCCGCACTTCCCAAGCGGCGCACTTATCCAGTGCGCCACCGGGCTGGCCCTGGCAGAAGAAATTTCTAAGCAGCAAAACATTCAGGAAGCTGCATGTTTTAACATGTTTTTTAAAGCTGCATGCATATAAAAACCTATGCTGAGTTATGGTAGCAAAGGCATGATGTAAAGCCAGAATTTATAATTAAAAGGGAAGCAGAGCATGAAGATTTGGAAAATCTGCAGACTGGCCATGTGGTAGAGAAGCAGAGAGCATGTTCAGGAGAAAAATGCAGTGGTGCAGCCCAGCGACCGTTTGCTAAGCAGATTAGTACAAAAGAAAGGGATTATCAAGAGAAGGGAAAAAAGGTCCTGAAGGCATTGCAGAAGCTTCTGGGGCCAGTTCTTCCATCGTAAGCCTGGAGGACTAGGGAGACAGAATGGTCTTGAGGAGCAGGCCTGTGGTGCCCTCCATGGGCTTGCTGCCCAGCACCACCTGCAGAAGCTGCTTCCAGCACCAGCGCCCTGGCTGTGTTGGCTGCTCCAGTGGCTAGATTGGCCCCAGCTATGGCTGGATACACAGCTTTGAATGATACAAGCCTTGGCTGTGTCCACATGGTGTTAGGTCTGCAGGCTCACAGAATGCCAGAGCTATGGAGGATTGGGAGCCTCCATCCTGATTTGAAATGGTAGATGGAAAAGCCTGGGGACCCAGGAAGAGATCTGTCACAGAGGTGGAGTCACTGCATAGAGCCTTCACTAGAGCAACACCAAGAGGAAATGTGTGGTCAGGTTACAGCAGAAAAGCCCCACCAGTGCCATGCCTAGTGGAGCTGTAGGAGTGGGACCAGCATGGAGACCCTAGACCTGTGGAGCTACCAGCGTGCAGTGCCAGCCTGGGAGAGCTGAAGCATTGCCAGAGACCAGGAAAGCCATAGGAACACAGCTGGCCAAGGACTTGGGGACCCACCCCCCACACCAGCATGTAGAGGACCTCAACATGGAGTCAAGGTACATGATTTGCCAGCTTTAAGATGTAATGTCTGCCCTGCTGGGTTTCAGACTTGTGTTGGAACCTGTTACCCCTTTCTTTTGGCCTATTTCTCCCTTTTTGAATGGGAATATGTACCTTATGTATCTCGGAAGTAGATAACTTGTTTCGATTTCACGGATGGGACCTTGAGACCTTGGACTTCTGAGCTGAAACAAGTCAAGACTTTGGGGATGGAATAAATGTATTTACCTGTGAGAAGGACATAAACTCTGGGTGCTGGGCTAGAATGATATGGGTTGAATTGTGTCCCCCAAGTTTTATGTATTAGAAACTCAGCCCCCACTGTGACTGTTAAGAGGGTGGGAAGTTCTATTATGGTAATTGAAAAGTGAGGTAATTGAAGAGGTGATTAGATTGTAGGATCACGCCCTAGGGAATGGATTAATAATGGTGGTGAGGGGCGTGGTTCCGAAGGCTTTACAAGGAGAGCACGTGAGTCTTTCTCTGCTCCACCACTCTGCCATGTGAGACCCCTGCATTACTGTCACCACCAAAGCCTTCACCAGCTGTGTTCCCTGAACTTTGGACTTCCCACCCTCCAAAACTTAGCAATAAATTTAGTTTTCTTACTAATTACCCATTTCCAAGTATTTTGTTATAAGCATCAGAAACAGGGTAATACAGAACATTTTCATCACTCCCCCAAAAAGTCGTACCCCTTAGATGTTACCCCCTTATCATTGTCCCACCCCTCCCAGCCCCTGACAACCACTAATCTACTTTCTGTCTCTATGGATTTTCCTACTCTGGACATTTCATATAAATGGAATCATATAACGTGTGGCCTTTAGTGTCTGGCTTATTTCACTTAGCATAATATTTTCAAGGTTCATCCATGCTGTAGTATGTACCAGTACTTCATTCCTTTTTATGCTGAGTGAGATTCCATTGCGTGGTAATGTTGTGAGGCGCCCTCCCACAGGAAATGCACTTACACGCCACTCGTGCAGAAAAAGGCATTTTATTCACTCCAGCTGGCCAGCGTCCGTCTCCCAGGGAGCAACCAAGGAAGAGTGGCATCAGGCCTTGGTCTTGTGGGGTTTTTAAAGGCAAAAACTACATCCCATTGTCACACAGGTTTGTCCAGGTGCACGAAGCAAGCTAAGGAGCTAGGTCACAGAGGCTGAGAATGAGCCGTTCGAGCAATCGAGCATACAAGTTTTCATTGTGTATGGTTCCTATTCCCATGTAATAATTTACTGTGTATGGCTCCTGTTTTTATGCAATTGTTTTTTGTTTCTATGAGAAGGTCAACGGTTTCTCATGCAGAAGTGTGGGGTAGTCCGCAGGCCAGACAGGGGGCAAACTCAGACAGGGAGTTACTTAGGTTAAGTGAGCAATTCTGCAGAAGCAGATAGCGTACGTTATGAGGGTGGAGGGAGCTCTGTTTCAGTAATATATCACATTTTGTTTATCCATTCATCAATTGATGGGCATTTGGGCTGTTATGTTGTTTGGCTAGTATGTAAAATGCTGCTATGAACATTGCATAAACAAGTTTGCAAAATATTGCTTTAATTTTGGAATCACCAGCCGGAAAATGTAGGAATGTTCTTAAGAGAACCAGGTGCACTGTCTTGTCCCCAACACTAGGAGAGCATGGGTTATAAACCCCTTCAGGTGCTTTATCCACAGGTGGATTCTGCTTAAGCTTTGGGGACCCAAGCAATGGCCCCCTCGTGGTTAAATGTTCTTGCAAAATTTGCAAAAATGAGATATCTAATTGCAATCAGTTAAGCATTGCCTATTCCCATCCTGACTTCCTCCCCAACTCGTTGCCCCTCCTGTCAGGGGGCATTATGGTGGCTGTGGGTGTTTTTGGATCGGATGCTGTATTAGTCCATTTCTGTTGCTTATCACAAAATACATGGAAATGGGTATTTTATAAAGAAAACAAAATTTATTGCTTACAGTTTTGGAGGCTTGGAAGTCCAAAGCCCAGGGAACAGATCTGGTGAGGGTCTTGGTGGTAGTGACAGTGACACAGGTATTACCTTGTGAAATGGTGGAGCAGAGAGAGACACACACAGACTCTCCTCTCTTTTCTTTTAAAGCCCTCAGAACCACACCCCTGTCCACCATTTTTAATCCATTCACTACTGCACAGTCCTACAATCTAATCACCTCTTCAAGGCTCCACCTTTCAATGACCACAATGGGATTTCCCACCCTCTTAACAGCACAGTGGGGCCCAAGTTTCCAATACATAAAACTTGGGGGACTCGATTCAAGCTTCAGCAAATTTGGGGGGGATATAATTCAACCCGCTGCAGATGAGAAGAAGGGGGATTAAGTTTGGTGGTGAATATTCATGCATTCCAGAAGCTCATCTGAGAGGGAGCGCCTCATGCATCCATTCCTAGTCAAAGGAACCCATCAAGGGGGACACAGGGGAGTCCAGGTGGGTTTTCAGAGCAATTACGAAGAATTCGCGTTCCGTCAAGCTCCAGCTCTGCCAGCAGATCTTGTGGCCTCATTTGTGACCTCTCTGCCTGTGAGAGGTGACTCTGGACACACGTGCCCAGTTCTCCCTTTCTGCCACCAGCGGACGTTGAACAATCTGGGTTTAGCTTTGTTTTCACCATAAACTCACCTGGACATTTGACTCTGTAGTGGGCTGAACAGTGGCCCCCCCAAAACATGTGTCCACCAGAACTTGTGAATGTGACCTTATTAGAAAGGGTCTTTGCAGATGTGATTAAGTCAAGGATTTCTAGATGGAATTGTCTTGGGTTATCTGGATAGGCCTTAAATCCAGTGGCTGATGTCCTTATAAAAAATAAAGGAGGAGAAGGCACAGACACAGAGGAGGCCGTGTGAAGACTGGGGTGATGTGGCCACAAGCCGAGCAGAGCCTGCAGCCGCCGGAAGCTGCAGGAAGGGAGGAAGGACCCTCCCCAGGACCTTCGGGGTGAGTGTGACCCTGCCACATCTCAAGTTTAAACTTCTGGCCTTTGGAACTGTGAAAGAATACACTTCTGTTGTTTTGAGCCACTCAGTTTGTCATAATTCATCACAGTAGCCCCAGGAAACTAATTCAGCCCTTCTGTGTCTTAGTATCTCATCAATAATATATTTTAAAATAAAGTATCATTTACCAGGCCTATGTAAGTTAAGCCTTTTGCCTACCTACACCATCTCATCTTTGGAATAATCTGCAAGGTGGAGGCTGTTGTATTCCCATGTCCTGGCTGTGGATCGGCTGGGCAGGTCCCTGCTTGTGTGGTCCCCTCCCTCCAGGGCTCTTGCCCTTAGCCACCTGATACACGAGGGTAAGGCATCTAACACACTGCCTCTGGCCTGGCCTGTCCCTGATATCTTCAATTCTGTGCACCCATGAGCATTGCCGGGGCCTGAGGGGCCATGGGGGGATTAAAGGGTTAAATGCAAGTCTTCAGTGGCGAGGCCTGGAAGTGACACTGGAGGTCTCCTATAGCCCTGCCCAAAAGGACCTCTCTTGCAGCTCTTCCTGCTCCTGCTAGGCCCTAAAGCAGCCTAGATAGGAGAGAGATGCTTAGTCGCATTGGGAATGAGAGGGGAAGGCTGGAAGTGACCCAGGGAGCTGTCCTTTCCTGGTACGGGTGAGATATTGAGTCTTAGCGGGCGGGCTCAGCTTGGGCCACTGCTTCATCGTGATGACGGTCAACAGGAGTGGGTGACAGCAGATGTCGAAGGTGTGACAGAGCACAGATGGGGCCTAGAAGGGTCAGAAGGGACTGTGGTCATAACCAGGGCCCAGGGGCATGGTGGGCTCACTGAGCGTCCTCAGGGTGGGGACCCCTCTCTCTGGCCCGGCCCTGCCCACGGCCACAGCTCTTCTCCCCCAGGTATCCACGTGTGCCCCTCATGCCTCACCCTGCACCCCAGAAGAAAGTAGCAATGGTTATTACAACATGTTTCATAATAAGATAAGCAGGTATGAATCCCAAGGGGCAGGGCTCTGAGGGACACCCGCCCCAGCAAGTACCTTTAGCCCGGTGACCTTTCCCGTGTAGCCGGGAGCTCCTTCCTCTGTCCTGACAGAACGAGTCAACAACTGGCACCCAGGAAAGTCATCTGAGCTGCTTCCCCCTGTCCCCTCCTCTTGCAGCAAATAACAGCTCGGATGATGCCATAAGATGAAACCACGGGCCTGGGAGCAGCTGGCCCCTCGTGGGGACAGACGGTACAGCAGAGGCTCCTCCAAGGCCAGGTCACTGTGGTTATTTATAAGCCCAGCGTGCCTGGATCAGGATGGTTCATTTGAGTCTCTGGGTGCTGAAATTTTTTCTTTTCTTTTCTTTTTTTTCCCCAGTGAGAACCTGCATCTGCACATGGTCAGGTCATCCCAGAATCAAGTCACTGGCTCAATCCTTGCTGGCCACGCTCTTCCAAGGCTGCTGAGGGTCAATGCGAGGTTCCTCCACTTTCTCTCTGGACAAATACCTTGACCGTGGGGAGGAAACAGTGGGGCTATGGAGAAGCGGGTGCTTCCAAGAGCATTTGCCTAGAACTTTCACCCGATCGTGTCCTTTCTCCGAGACGGATCTATTAGAGCTTCATTTTTCTTCACAAAGTAGACTGAAGTCTCCTGAGAAAGGGCCTCAAAACATACACTGTGGGGATCAGGGCTGTGCTGTGATTTTCAGGGGCCCTGGACGTTTTTGTTTTCATGGTCCCTTCCTCCATTAAATATGTTAAAAATTATATTTTATAACTACATTGACATAAGGGAAAATATAATCCAGGCTGTATTTGTTATATTTGTTATTATTATATTCACTTTTTTCTTCTGATTTTATAAAGGAATTAAAACGTTTTTGTGGGGCCCTGAAAGTATCACAGCCCTGTGCCTCCGGGGCCTGAAGGAAGGGTCGCTCTGGTCCCGCTGGTGCCTCCTTCCTTCTCTGTTTCCTTCTCTACTAGTTTCCAGTATCGAGGTTTACTGTGCTTAAGTGATTTACATGCAAAATCCTATTTCTTCTTCACAGCAGGCCTGTGGGGTGGGCACCCTTGGTATCCGCAACTCACAGATAAGGAAGCTGAGAAATTAAATGACTTGTCCAAGGTCACGGACAGCTGGGACGGGACCCATGGCTCATCACACCCCACGAGCCTCATTCTTAACCTTTACGCTAGGTGCCTCTTTACCCACATTTGGCTGAAAAGTTTACATGCCCACAGTTCACTGTAAAAGCCACACATAGCCGCCTCTGTTAATCAGTAGCTGGTTGCATTTGGCCCAGTGGGCGATCCCAGGAGCAGAAAGTACAGTACGGAGAGGACCGTGGGGCAGCAGTGGCATGTGGAGCCAGGCTCTGCCCTCTTGATCCCTTTGCTCATGTCTGCCCAGCTCAGTGTCCTCAGTATCGTCCAGTACATGAGGCAGCCGGCTCACTCCAGCCTTGGCTACTTCGGGCCCAGGCCCCTCCCTGGACCAGAAGCCTCACCTGTGAGAATCAGAAAAAGACATCCCTTCCTCCAGACCCTTGACTGTCAGAAAATCGGCACAATAAACATACAAATCTAAGATGTCCAGAATAAGAATGGTGCCCCCTGAAATGTGCGATGTGCACACCCTGCGCCACCATACAGCAACCCCATCCAGGCCTCCCAAGGTCCCAGAACCACTGTCTGCTGTCAAGGAGCTTCTACTGTCAACAGTGATAGGCGGGTCCTGGGAGAAGGCTGGTGAAAGTGTTTGCAGCAGAAAGGAGGGGCCAGTGGGAACGTTCTCAGGCTGGCAGCAGAGGGAGGGTTTGGAGAATGCAGTGTTAGCTGAGAGCAGAAACCCAGGATGCCTGGTGGGACATGGTGGCCACAAAGGGACACTAAGGACAGGCACCATGCTATCCCAGGGAATAGCGCTTGGGGTCAGGAACGTCCAGCGTAGTGTGCACCAAAGGCAGGTCTTGGAGTGTGCAGCAAGTGCAAAGGCAAAGGAGCAGTGAACGCTGCCTGGACCGAAGGGACAACCAAGAAAGAGTTTGCTGAAGGGGAAACTTCCAAGCTGGGCTTTGCAGATTCATAGGAGTTTGCTGTGCCAAGAATCCAGGAAGAAGATGGTAAAAGGAGTGTAGAAGAGAAGGGACAGAGACCTGGAGGCCTGACACTGCACAGCTTCCAAAGGCCCCTGTGCCACCCCTGTTCCAGCACTGACCCCCTGTGGCTCACTCATATCTCTTTCCCACAGTGCTGCAGACTTCCAAGGTCAGGGACTGGGTTGAGTTTGCTTTGTATCGCCAGGACCAAGATTAGGACCAGACACAAAGGGGCTCTCAGTAAATATCTGCAGTACGAATGCACTACCTATTGATTTGTTGTCTGTTGTAGCCAGAGCTAAAGGGATCTGGACGTGGAGTGAGGAGGTGAGGCTGAAAAGGCCAACAGGAAACAGTGTGTAGGGCTGGCGGCTCTGCCATGGAACCTGGGTTCCACCAGGTAGAGGATGTGGATCCAACAGGGTGATCCACACCTGCCTAGCTCCCTGCTCAGTTGAACAAGGCCTGGGTGGCCCCAGTTCAAGGGAAGGGCAGAAGGAGGAAGATGTTGGGATCCTGGGCCTCTGCTCTGAAATGGTGGAAATGACCCTACTGAGAAGGAGGGAGTTTTGCAAATTGGAGGCCTGAATCAGGAAGAGCACTGAAATCTCCTGGGTCGATTTTGCTGGGGTGAGTCCGTGGGGGTGGCAGTACAGGGGACCCATAACTTGCCACAGGGGTGGTGCATAACATTATTCACTCAGCACAACAACCAAGTGGGATTTTCCCCAGGGATGCAAGGTTGGTTCAAAATTAGAAAGTCAACTAATGGAATCCATCATCACATCAATAGACTAGAAGAAGAAAGATCACTTGATCATATCAATAGATGCAGAAAAAGCATGTAACAAAATCCGTGTGGAGGACACAATTCAATCCATACCAAAATCTAACAAAATACATACAAGATCTATCTGAGGACAACTACAAAACACTTATGAAAGAAATCAAAGGAGAACTAAATAAATGGAGAGATATTCCATGTTCATGGATAGGAAGACTCAATTCACAATAAAAACTCTCTGCAAACTAGGAATAGGGGGGAATTTCTTCAACTTGATCAAGAACATTCACAAAAGCCCTACAGCTAACATCATACTTAATGCTGAGAAACTGGAAGTTTTCCCACTAAGGTCAGGTTCAAGGCAAGGATGTTTCCTCTCACCACTCCTTTTCAGCATCATAGTGGAAGTCCTAGCTAGTGCAATGAGACAAGAAAAGGAGGTAAAAGATATACTGATTGGGAAGGAAGACATAAAACAGTTTGTTCACAGATGACATAATTGTCTATGTAGAAAAATTTTAAAAATTGACAAAAATACTCCTGGAACTAATATGTGATCATAACAAGGTTGCAAAATAAGATTAGTATACAAAGTCAATTGCTTTCCTAATGCCAGCAATCGACAAGTGGAATTTGAAATTAAAAACACATTATAATTTACATTAGCACCCCGAAAAATGAAACACATAGGTATAAATCTGTATTAGTCTATTTCTGTTGCTTGTAACAAAATCCTTGGAACTGGGTAAGAAAATGAAATTTATTGCTTACAGTTTTGGAGGCTGGGAAGTCCAAAGTCCAGGGAACACATCTGGTGAAGGCCTTGGTAGTGACAGTAATGCAGGGGTCTCACATGGCAGAATGGCAGAGCAGAGAGTGAGAGACTCTCATGTATTCTCCTTTTAAAGCCCTCAGAACCATGCACCAGACCACCATTATTAATGCATTCACTATGGCATGGTCCTCAGAATCTAATCACCTAGGGCTGGCCTGGTGGCGCACTGCTACAGTGCGCCGCTTGGGAGTGCGGCGGCGCTCCCACCGATTATTAATGCATTCACTATGGCATGGTCCTCAGAATCTAATCACCTAGGGCCGGCCTGGTGGATCACTGCTACAGTGCGCCGCTTGGGAGTGCTGCGGCGCTCCCGCCGAGGGTTTGGATCCCACATACAGACCGCCGCTCACTGGCTGAGCGAGGTGTGGGCACAACACCAAGGGTTGCGATCCCGTTGCTGGTCCCGGTCCGGTACGGGCGCAACACTGAGGGTTGCGATCCGTTGCTGGTCACGAAAAAAGACAAAAAGGAAAAAAAAAAAAAAAGAATCTAATCATCTCTTCAAGGCCCCACCTTTCAACTACCATAATAGGATTTCCCACCCTCTTAACACAATGGGGTTACAAGTGGGGATCAAGCTTCTAATACACTTGGGGGACACAATTCAATCCATATAAAAATCTAACAAAATATGTATGAGATGTATTTGAGGACAACTACAAAACTCTGGTGGAAGAAATCAAAGAAATAAATAAGTAGAAAGGTATTCCATGTTTGTGGATAGGAAGACTCAATATTGTCAAGATGTCTGTTCTTCCCAACTTGATCTGTGGAGGCAAAAGACCCAGAATAGCCAACTCAACATTGAAGTGGAACACAGTTGGAGGACTGACACTATCTGACTTCAAGACCTATGATAAAGGGCTGGCCTGGTGGTGCACTGCTATAGTGTGCCGCTTGGGAAGCGCGGCGGCGCTCCCGCTGAGGGTTCG